TGCATTCATCAAAATAGCCCATGTGTGACCTTCGGAAAAGTCCTTGAAAACAGTGAAACAAGAGTCTTAGTTGAAATCTGGAATTCATTCCAGTCTTACACAGGAAGAAAATTAGGCATAGAACAACAAAGCCTATAGTTCTGAGAAACCTGGGGAGGCTCTGGCTGACATGAAAATCATCGATTTTTTTTCCTTCACTACTTTGTTTTCCATAAAAGCTTTCATCTAAGTAACCAAAGCTGCTAGAAAATACTGTAATGTTAGTAGATGGCAAGCACTGGTTTCACCAGTGAATAATGCAGGCAGAATAAGAATAGAGATGCTGAGTAATATATTAGAAGTCACTTACTTAACACTTTTGCAAGCTACTAAGTAAATGCTATTCTTCCAATATAAAAGTGGCGAATGCTACCATTTCCCCCTGGGTTAACATATTGGCAATAATGGGATTAGGCATGGAAGCTTGGGGTAGAGAGAATAGCTATGTTCCCTAAGCCCCCAACTCCATCATAGAATTCATTTGCCTAAATATCATGGATCTGGAAATATTTATTCACTTAGAATGTGAATCAGCAGAGGAGTGTGCTTGCTCAGTAAATTAAACTGTACAAACATTTGTGGGGTAACACTATTTTTATAAGTACAGACCAATTCCCTTAGTCGCCAGCTGATAGTACTCACTATTAATTTGCCATACCATATGCTTTTATTTCATATGCATAAGTAATCACAAGCCTGTACTCCCTTTGGAAGCATTTTACTTCTTTGCCAGCAAGGAAAAGGGCAGGACACTTTGAGTCAAGTGGTAGCATAAAACCCAGTGAAAATCAATTGGCAGGGAAATTTGGTTTGGACTTATGTTTGAGAATCCACCTCAAGTTTGTCTGGGAGGCCCCTCAAAAAGGATTCAGACCTGAACCAAACAAGAAGATTCAGAAATAATCCAGCTGCGGGAGGGGCGTAGGATGCTCAGACCCAGAACACATCTTCATACACATGAATAACTTAATTTTTTCTTAAGTACCTTTACAGTTCATTTTTTATTTTCCTTTAAAAAAAAAGTAAATGGCATTACTCTGGTCTCCAAAACTGATGCCAGTTTGAACTATACTCTGCCAGCAAGTATTTGGTTTGGCTCTGCAGGGCTTGAGTTGAAAAAATATTTGCCGATTCCAAAAAGATTTAACGAGCTTTGCTGAAGATGCCGGTGCCATTTGGCATGTCACATAGACTGTGGCACAGCAAAGAGAACTTCTTGACCACAGATTTTATTTGCCGGAGGTAGCCAACACTGGGAGTTCCATCGCTTCCTTGGGTCAAGAAGCTGCAAGTCAAATGAGTGAAGTTTCCAAGAGAAAATGACCGAAGAAGACATTTAAAAAAAAACCAAAAAACTTGCTGCCATTGAAAATGAACTCACTGGGTTTTGATAGCTAATTTTCAGAACTGTCAAGAACATCCTCATACCAGCCATCAAACAAGGTCCCTAACGCTGTCAGTCAGCAAACCAAATAAATCTCCAACTTCTCGCAAAAAGACCCATTAGCAACACATAGTCAAACCTTTTGTTGTCATTGGATAGCTTACTAATTGTGGTGTTAGAATTTGAATGAGGATTGAATGACCTACTTCAAGCAACTTCACTAGACAAAACCAGCAAATTTACTTTATATTGCCAAGTTGAGCATGCGTTGCTTTTTATTAATATTTAGAACATAAATGCATGAATCTAGCACTGGGATTGGGAAGACTGACCTTACTGCACATAAGTCTCTTATAAAAGTCACTGAAGGCTGTCACCTGAAATCATGTGCTTCAGTTACTCTGCACTGATCCTCTCCAATCAACGTCACATCTGACAACTATGACAAAAAACGCAAAATATTCCCATCATAGTGTGTGCTTAGAAATAACATGCATGTATAAATGGGTATGGGGACAGGGCGAGAGGCACTGAAACTGTGACCACCTTGAAGAAGAGAAACACGGGATTAGTTTTAATTTCAGGTTATGAGTAAATACACACATACTTAGGTGTATCCCACTTAACTGCTATGGATCCCCCCAAACTTCTCCATATCTCTTTCACTAAGGCCACGCACTGATCCAATGCTCATTACATGATCATCTACTTCAAGGTTCAGTAACAAACAGCCTCCAAGAAAGAGCCAAGCTCTGCACACAACCTTTGCACAGAAAGACCTATTCACCACAACAAAGACGAAGCCGTCTACCTGACTTGACTGAAATGTGGAAGCCAGAATAGGAATCAAAAGGAAAACATCATGCAATAACAAAAGAGTGATTATACGTGTTATTTACCATTTTGGCTTCTGAATGCATCGGCTGGACTTGGGGAGAAGCACAGGGGTTGCTGAGATTTGGACCCTGCATTCCCAGGAGGTTGGAGTTCACTGACATTTGTCTCTCCATCTAAGACAAAGGAAAGCAACAGAGTCAAGAGGCTGAGGAGGCTGTCTAGGCCTTAGACAAAGCTGCATTTTTCTTTCAAATGAATCGTGTCTAGTTTCTTTGAATAACTGCGGAGAAAGTCTGTGGTTTGGTGAAGGGTAAGCAATGCACTCCTGAGCCTTGAACCCAACCACATCAAAGAAACACCCAAAGCTACACCTTCTATAGAAGATGCCCCAAGCCAAACAGAACTACCTTGTCATGTAGATCATTTCCAAACAAAAGTATGGAATATTTTCACTTTTGCAAACCCTCCAACTGCCACGAATTATATTGATTTTTATAGCTATGAAGAATAACATATGCATAGAAAAATGCTGGAAGGCTATATAATATACCAAATGGTTATCTCAGGTTATCTGTGGCTTTCCCCCCCATCCCTAAATTTCATACAGAAACATAAATCATTTTAGCAATAAGAAAAAATAAAATTAATTTTGAAAGCATCTCTGGTGGGTCTGCTTGTCGTTCTTCCTCATAAACACAACTGAAAGGACCCAGCCAGGTATTTGATCCTCTGCCTCCAGCACATGTCTTCCTCCCTATTAACCTCCTCATGACTACACAGCTGCTGTCTCAGGCCTCAGGGTGGGACCGGGCCGGTGGGTAGGAGAAGAAGGCAGTGGAGGGTTTTGATGACATGATCCACCAATCCCACATTGTCCTGCTAACCCACTATGGTGTGTAGCATCAATATCATTCAAAGAGCTGCACTGAATTCTGGCATTTTTGTCTCCAGGGTGTTCCTGCTAAAAAGTAAATATAGCAAGATCTCTATTTCAGTCATGGGAGAATGTGTCTGATGAATATTTTCTGTTTAGCAGAAAATTAGCCCCTTTCAGAGAACCAAAATAAAGCAAATATACAGGTTTGGGCAAAAGTAGATTTACAGTTGTGAGTACGTAAAAAAAGTTTATTCTTGCATTATTTATTAATTATTGTATTATTTTCCATACAAAGAACTGTAAACCTACTTTTGCCTCAACCTCTACTTTATACTGAAATCACAGAAAATAATGAGACATTCCTAGGGGGATTCTTCAATGCAAGAGTTTTTCCATTTGTTAAAAGATGGAAACGAAAACAATGGTCGGAAATTTTAGGGAACCAGGTTTCTGCTCAAAGTTAGCCTAGGTAGTGTAGTCTTTGGTAAATACAGAGCTCCTTCTCACTGAAGGAAAGCTCACAGAGGAGAGTTGGGAGCGATAGTTGAACTAAATGACCCTTTAATGTCCTTTCCATTGTTGAGGTTCTGTGACTGCAATTCCTGTTGTGCCCACTCCCGGGGCAGGGCGTGGCTATGACACTGATGTGTGGATTAGCAGAGGTGCTGCTCAGCTTCTCCTGAATGCCTGGTTGACACACCCCTCACTGCAACACCACCACCCTTACCTTAGCCTGAATTAGTTCATCTGTATCAACAGTGTGTGGATATGTCAAACTGTTCCAAAAGGAGCTACTGAAAGAATTTCCTAGATGTTCTAGAGCACACCTGCAAAACCTTTTGAGGCTTTACTAATTCAGTAAAATAAAATATTTAAACTCATATCACCCCAAATTATTTTTTTATCCCAGCTGGTGTGGCCCAGTGGTTGAGTGTCGACCCATGCATCAAGAGGTTGTGGTTCAATTCCTGGTCAGGGCACATGCCTGGGTTGCGGGCTCTATCCCTGGTGAGGGGTGTGCAGGAGGCAGCCAATAGATGTTCTCTCTCATCAATGCTTCTCTCTCTCTCCTTTTCTCTTCCTCTCTCTTTCTCTCTAAAAAAAAATTAATAAAAAAGATTTTAAAAAAGATTTTAAAAAGGTAATTTTAAAAAATCATGGTAAAATATACACAACATAAGAATTTCCATTTTAACAATTTTAAGTGTACAGTTCAGTGCCATTAACTACATTTGTGTACTCTAATTCTTGTGTGTGTGTGTGTGTGTGTGTTCTCTAATCCTTACATCATGAAGATGGTTCTGGAAAATGCTTATTACTGATAACTCCCACTTCCAGAGGCTGGGGAACAGGACAGTCAAGTAACATTTCACCCCTTTTTCCAATAGATGACTTTCTCCTAGAGAGAAATCAAGCCCAACTCAGTTTTTGCCCTCAGTTTTCCCAAGGAGATCTTTGGAACGTCCGGCAGTACAGGTGACTGTCAGACGTTCCCACACTGCTAGCCCTTCATGCACTACAAACCTCAGAGCAGCCGGTTTCAGCATCTGGATCCCCAATCCACCGTGCTTCCCACTTTTCGGAAAAATTATAGTCTATGACTATTTCTACCTCGTGACTCACAAATTAAACAGAATTTTGAAAACAGGCTGACTTCTCTATCTAAAAAAAAAATTGCATATTTCCCTCTAAATGATTATAGGGTCAGGAACAGTCTCTTCAAAACAACTCTTTGGTGCTCACTAATAAGGCTCTGCACTGAGCCTGTGGCTTTGAGGAGCTGGCTAGAACAAGGGGTCAGAAGATGGGGGAGGCTTTGCATTGTCCGTAAAACATCCAGGTTAAAGAATTCACCTTTTTTTTTTGAGCTTTTTTTTCTCCCTGTAAATACACTGGAGAACGGAAGCTAAGATACCTGCACTTCAGGGGGCTTTTGTAATAATAACTGGATGTTCATATCCCCAAATTATTTAAGCATGTGACTTTGAAGATAGAATATCACAACCCAGTGAGCTCCTTAAAGGCAATGCCTGCCTTGTTCCTCACCCCATCCCAGAATCTAGCATAGTAGTTGGCCCATAGAAGGTCCTCAACAAAAGTTTGTGGAATGAGTGAATGAACAAATACATCATTTTGTTTGAGACCCAAGGCTCTGTGAAATGTGTGGCATAATAGCATGTGCTACCAATCAGTTAAAAGTCTCACCTGCACCTGCAGACACAGACCTTTTTTATACCCGGAAATCATGGTTTTCTGTGGCAGGAACTCTAGAAGATGATGCTCAAAATGCCAGCATTATAGCATCGGAGCTGGTGACTTGATAATATGGAAGAAAAGACCCAGATTTCTAGGTCCAGTAACTTTTAGGATATGCTTTTTAGAGCTTTTATATGAATTTCCATTAGTTACATCTACGTCACTTTCGACCTCAGTTTCTCAACCTCAGCACTATTTACAATTTGAGCAAAATAATTATTGTTGTGGTGGCTGTTCTGTGCATTGTAGAATATTTAACAGCATCCCTGGACTCCACCCACTAGATGTCAGTCACTGCCCCCACCCCCCGCCCCAGTTGTGACAATCAACAGTATTTCCAGATGCTGCCCAATGTTCTCAGGAAGCCAAATCACCCCTGGTTGAGCATCACTGCTCTGGACTGACACTACTGTCGTAGCAGCTGCTACCTGTCCCTGACACGGGGTTGGGAACTCCTGTGCAGGAAGCATTCCTGATTTTTATCTACACTGGCTCTGCACCATGCACATGATTCTTCGTTTCTATTCTGAAGCATCACCAGGAGGTCAAGTTGTACAATGAAGTGATGTGGCACAACAAAGAGAGGCAGGAAACAGGTGCTAGGTACCTTTTTTCTGGGCCCTTTCAACCCAAGTGTGCCACATTTGTCCCTGAGATTGGTACACACTTGAGTCAAATGGAAGAAAGGTCGCTCAGTGATATTTTTTGAACAATGCATCAACTTTCTGAGAGGAGACTAATTCCTTTTTGAGAGGAATTTAGAGCCTAAATGGAGACGGCATATGGTGGATATCTTCATGCAATTAGTTGGGTTGAATAAAACCTGGGTTAATGACATTGATGGTGCTGTTTTGCTTCATCGAAAGATGTTTATATTGAGGAACGTAGGTGAAGTCAGCCAGGTCATCTGACCCAATTTTGCAAAGACTGTTTCTAGCCTGAACTACCTGATACATGCAGTGGGCAAGTCCCTTTCTCTAAACTGGGGCACCAGGCCCTCCTCATTCCCTTCCCACTTGGATAAATGAGCAAACTGCTCAACCTGCCAGAGCCGAGCTGCTCAGTGTGAGTTTAGATTTGGGTTCCAGTCACAAATCTTCATTCATAAGCTGCGTGACATTGGGCAATTAGCTTTACATTTGTAAAATGAGTGTCAACATTCCCACAGGACTGCTGTGATAGCAAAATGAAATAACAAAGGTAGACAATTCTTTAAAATACTCTGCAAGGCACTGCTGATACCGGTGTGAGAGGGCTTTAATAGAATTGTCACACCACTCTAGGGTTTTTGAGAACCCTTGTGGCCCTGTGACTAACACCAGCCACCAAATGTCCACCAATGCAGAATGCCAGGGAGGATGAAGAAGTACAGGCAGGGGATCCCACGGAAGGAGAGCATGGTTCGCTCTGGAATAATCTGTGTCTCCCATCTATGTCCATCTGTTGTTTTCAAAGAGGAGCAGGAAAATATAATGGTGATGAGTGTAGACGTGGGAGTCAGACTACCTGAATTTCAATCCTAACTCCATCACCTACTGGCTCTGTGACCTTAGCCAAGTTACTCAGTTTCCTCATCTGTGAAATGGGGATAAGAACAGTGCATACCTCATAGGATTGTTGTGAGAAAGGAGGGAACATACATATCGTGTAGATGTTAAGAGTGAGCTCTGGAGCAAGAATGCCTGGGTTCAAAACTCAGCTGCTGTTTCTCAGACAAGCAAGGTACCTTCACTCATTCAAAAAATGGGGACGTATTAGTACCTACCTCCTAGGATTGTTTCATGTGTTGATAAAGTGCCTAGAGATAACTAGCACATGAGAAGCACTTAACAAATGCTGTGAGAATAATTAAGAGAGCATGGCATGCATGACTACATGTTAGAATTATATGTAGTACCATCGTTATTATTGGCATTATGATTACTCTGAGCCCTGGCCAGACCACTCACTGTCAGTTTAAGGACACTCTGTAAATAGCCCAAGTATAGACTTTGGAGTAGTCATAAAACATGTCTCTGAACAAATCCCATTCCCTGGGTGTGGCAAGTTCACTTGTCACCAGTAGGGAGGTGAGCCTGTGCCTCACCAGGGAAGCACTGAGGAACAGGAAAGCCAGCAAGATGCTTGGGACGGACAAGCAGGCCCTCAAAGCCACTTGCACACAGCTCAGCTCTCTATCCAGCGGCCACTTTCTCCCCAGGCAGCCAGAAGCTCAGTTTCCCTTCCTTTTTCAAATGGGGCAAGACTGGGAGGAAGTGAGGAGCACTTACTGGCATCAGGACAGCAGAAGATCCCGGCATCGTAGGGTTGGGCAGGGTCCCGGGCATGGAGGCTGGCATGGGCTGTCTCTGTCTGTTGTGGATGTGTAGCAGAGAAGATAGAGAGCCTGGAACAGGCCTGGGGACAAGGAACGAGAGAAGCAGATGTTATTCCTGATGCCCTGGGCAGGGGATTCACTGCCAGTTTCCCCGGGACCAGAACCAGCGGGGGCAACACCATTATATGCAAAGCAGATCAAATCTTCTGGTGGGAGCCACATAATTGAGGATATTAGGGAAATAATAACAAATAAAACACAAGTCTGGCTTCCTTTGCTGCTTCCTAGTTAATACATCAAATTCTACTTCATTTCCTGACCTCTGTTATCTAACTGATGTTCAATAGACAACAAGTTGATAAATCTTCTAACCCCTGCATCTTATCATGGAGACTCAGTGGTAAAATCCTGCAGTGACTAGGAAGTCTCTGTCCTCTGGAGGACTTTAAAACCAGAGATGTGTGTGCATGTGTTTATCCACACTCTCATACACCTCTGCCTGGAAGCCCTCCTGGCTTGGCTCTGGATACATTCACACTGTCTGGATTTGCAGAGCCAGCTTCATTCACGAATTCCCAATAGAAATCTATTTTGACTTTTTCACTGTTCTCCACTGTGAGTGGAACAAAAAACAAAATCCAGGACACAAATGAAAGCAGTCGGGTTGTGTTCAGGCCACTTTAGTGGGACAAGTCTGGAGCCCAGCCCCCAATTTCCAACCCCTCATTTCATAATAACTTGAGGTGTGAGGCTGTTTGACAGAAACTGATTTTGACCTGACCTGCAGGACTTGGGTAAGTACACTTTCCTCAGGGGAGTACATAGTTTGAGCTTTTGATTTAATTTGCCAGAAAATATTTTAAGGGCCTTAAATTAATGAGCCAGGGAATATGGGGCTGAGGGTAAAAAGGGAATTATTTGTGTTTATTAAAAATGGCAAACAAGTGACCTGCCTGATGCCCTTGCTCTGGGGAGTTGTATAAATATCAGACCATGAAGTCAAAGACTTAAAAACAAACAAGTAAACAAACCCGCCTCAGGACCTCTGAATGGGTATGTTAAACCACCTTATCCTGAATGCCACGATAGAAACTATTGCTAACAAAATGAATACATTTGCTTTAAAAAAATAAAAAATCCTCATGTTAAACTTGCAGACAGAGACGGTCTGTGTAGGCCACAGACGGTCTGTGCAGGACTGCGCTTCAGGAAATGAGCCCTGTCCAGAGACCCTCCGAGCAGCGCGATGCCTCCTCTCTGGGGCTCATTCACCTCCCGTGGGTGACTCGTGGAGAACTGGGAGACTGAAATGGGGAAGAGGCCAACACGCTCTGTCTTCGCAAGGCTGTCAGAATTCCAGAGAAAATCCACTTTTGCCTGATAGCTCCTTTGAAAACACAGCGAGCTATCAGCATCTCACACATTATAAAAGGATGAGTCATAAATTAGTCTATATTGATATGTTTAGGAAGTTGTATAAATGAAAATAGAAAAGAATATAAAGCCTTTACACTGTTTGTATAGATATACAGAGATTACACCCAGTTTTTAAAAATAGAATGTGTGTGAGTAGTTACATGTAAGTAGTTTGTAACAACCAGATGGGTGTTTTCAGAAAAGCACATGGAGTACTTGGCTATTCCTTGCCATGTGCCCTGGGGACCTCTGGAGTATGGATTAACAGTAAGGCCTAGGAGGGCCTCTGAAGGCCCGTCAGCTTTTCTAGTTCCTAGAAACTCTGGGTTTCAAGTGCTCTGGAATTCGCCAACAGGTGTAACTTCCCCAAGTCTTATCTCATTCAGAGGTAGCTACATGGAATCAGAGAGGTGTACCATGTGGCTCAATCAACAGACAGTGCTCATTTATATTCTCGTCTTAATGTTTTGTTTGAGACATTTACTGAAAATAAAATAGCTGTATAAAACTATATCATGCTTAATAATTTTCAGTTCCTTTAAAGATAAGATTAATAATCTGAACTCCCCAGTTTCATGAGAAAGATTCATTGAGAGTATTCCTACAGATAGCTAATTATTCATCCATCCACTCACCCTTTCACCTATAGACCTATATATCCATCCAGATAGATAGATGTGCATATATGTACATCTCTACATGCATTACATATATGTATGTAGGCTTTTACCATATGTCTGTTTCCCTAGTCACAGAGGGAATAATACTGCCATTATAGACAGTTAAGGAAAAGCAAAAACTATTATAGGAAAGTCAACTAAAATTTTTTATTATGTTGATTGGCAATATCATCCTCATGAACAAAGGCAAAATATATATACTATCACCATTTCCATTTTATTCCCAACATATTAATAGAAATCTGGTTATAAGTTTTCATTGATGTTTTCTTTTTAAAAAGAAGTCAATTAAACAACTTAATGGTAATTCGAATGGAGATGCTGAAGTAATTAAATTTAAAACAAGTTTTCATTCTTCCCAAGACTATGGGAAACTCCCAGTGGTATAGAATAATTGGGGAATGGTATGTTTTATTCAATGTAATGTTCTTATTAGGTCAGTAATTTCCACACATGCATAAATCTACTCGGTTTTAAAATATCAAGTATTCCTTCATTAATTAAGGCTTTCAAGGTACTGGGTTCTCTTGGGATTAAAATAATAACTACCTAATGATGCCAATCAGACCAATTAGCAACATATACTTGAAGGAGAAAATTGTTATTTGAGAACGCTGTATGCTTGGACTCTAAATGATTTTGAATTATTGTTTTACATAGATTCTGTAAATAATTTCTCCATCCCCACCTACAAAACTGATGGAGTTTTCTAGGCTTCTTGCTTGGGCTTTTAAAACTACAAAAGCTGAAAGGAATAAAAAAAATCTATGTCTATCCATCACAGGGTATACAAAGGACTAGACTGAAGCAATTGTGTAGCTTGGCCCAGGAAATAATCATTTGTCCAGAATAGTCAGATCACTGAAGCAAGAGTGGTAAGAGAATAATTGCATTAATTAGTTCCCCTTGTGTATATAGAAATAATTATTTAATACCTTGCACTTGCATAAAACTTTTTATATTGCACTTATAAATTATTTCATGTTTTTCAAAATATCTTCACCTTCATGTGACTTGCAACAATGCAGTGTGGTAGGGAGGGAATATTACTCCCATTTTCTCAGGAGTAAGCTGAATTCCAAAACATTTACATCTGCCCAAGGTCAGATGGGTTACGAAAAGACGCAGGATTTCTATCCAACTTTGCAACAGAGTATTTCCTCCACCACACCCTGATGGATCCCGTAACAAAGTTATTATTGATTTTTTTATACTAAAATAAATTCACAGTCCATTTCCTTTAATATTCACCCTGCTCCCTGGACTTTGTAATGAAGTAGTAAAATTCTGCAATACTGCTAATATGAGAAGTCACTCATCCATGGGAAATTATGTTTTCTTCCTTTAAAAAGAAAAAACCAACAAACGTCCCAAACAACACATGGGTTAGACTCTGAAAATAAGACGGCAAATTGCAGTAAAGTTGTGAAAACAAAGGCCCGACAGTCTCTCTCCAGTGCAGGCTTGTTGCCATGAACTAATAATTCCAGACTTTGAGCAAGCCGAGCCTCCTTTTTAATAACCATATGCCTCTAGGTAAAGCATTTCTACTAAAAATTATTGAGGCATGGAACAAGGTAAGATGTGTGAGCTCATATTGGATTGTTCAATTACTAAACGGAGTCCCGTAGCATTGAGAGTTTTCCAATGTGACAGATGATTCCTCTTTATACACTTGTATAAACATAATGCTTACGGCTGAAATCTATGTAAGCTTTTCTTTCAATTAAAATGTCAAGGATGACAGACTGTGTTTTCACTGTCTTTAACAGAATGCTAGGTGCCACAGCAAGCATTTTCATGTCCTCGTTTTTCCCCCCAAAGGATGTTTTCCAGTCTAGGGGTGTCTGAGAAGCAGGGCTGTGTCTGCTGGCCCTCCTTGTCCTTGGACGAGCCCAGCTATCTTTAAGGAGCTAAGGACCAGTGCATTTGTTTGGAAGGTCTGGGAGGGTCACTGCAGACTGCTCTCCTTTCCCAGGTCTTCACAACATTTAGGACCTCTATTAACCTCTCAGAACACACAGATCTGCCACGTGTGTGATCAGGCAAAGGGAAGAAGCAGACAATGAAAAAAATTAGGTCAGAAAATGAGAAGATCAATGTTAGCACCTAAATCAGATAATAGACATCTAAGAAACCTTGAGCAGATAAAAAAAAAAAAAGAAAAAAGATAACAACTAGAAGACCTGGGGGAGGGGGAGCAGAATAAGAAAAGCTTCAAAGCAATAAAATGGAAGAAGGGTGTGCAGGAAGCAGATGAGCCAGAGGCCAGGGTTTCTGACCTGGGGAGAAACTGCCTTAGCCATGGGGCTCTCCCCTTCCTCACCTGGTTAAGGAGTGGACAGGCCACCTGGAAATTTCTTGAAACTAAAATTCAGATTCCAGGCCTTGAAATAAATATGAGATGCTCTTAATCTATCAAGACTATCTGTTCCATTATGATAAAGGTTTTCTCCACTGCTCACGGATACATTCACCGTGGTTAATCCAGCACCTGACTCAGAGTAGGTGGCTGCTGTCTATATTAAATAAAATAGAGCCAGTATAGCACTTATTAATGTAAAGAGGACATTTGAAATGTGAATACACCCCAAAAAGAAGGTGTTCCTAAAAGATTAGAGAAGTTGGGAAATAAGGATCCAATACATTCTGCAGGGCCCACAGTTCTTTCTCATTTAAATACAACATAATTTCACACAGACTAGAGAGAGCTTCTTGCCAGGATCTTTGCATTTGCGAATGAAAAGAACCCCGTGCTTCCTTTGCACCTTCTTACATGAAGCGCTATGGCCTCACCTAGGAAGTTAGTTTCTGCCTGGGAGGCTGGAATGCCAAAGAGGGGACACAAACTCTTAACTCTCAATAGAAGGCAGTTTGTAATGAGAAGTGCTCATTTACTCATTCTTCTCTTAACTGGAAATTTGTGTGTTTTTTTAAAGAATAGTTTTGATTTTTTAGAGAGAGAGGAAGAAGAGAGGGGGAAG